GGATGCCGGAGGTAGCCCACGGTTCCTGAACGCACAGAGAGGTGCGGGACACAAAACAGACTGCTACGAGCACTGGAGCCTGGACGAGACAAGACAGAACTGGTGAGCGATAATACTAGGACAGTCAGAGCACGGGAAAGAATCACAACGAACTGACAACATACAGAGAAACACGAGGAGCTATAAGGGGAAGCTAATGAGATGACCAGACCCAGGTGTGAAACACGGAGGGCGGGGACAACGATCATGCTGACATGCTCACGTGGCGAGCTGTCAAAACAACTCACGCACAACACACAAACACAGAGACAGGTGATCAGACGCGAGACCCGACAGATAGCTGTTAACTCTAATGCAATTCCAGTTTCTCGCCCTCTTTTCATGCCAGAAACGTGTACTGAGGTAGGACAGGAATGGTTGGATTGGTCTGAGCAATTCGAGATGGCAGCACAAGTAAATGGGTGGGATAATGAGCTTAAGTTAAAGTTTATCTCTTTATTATTTTCTGGTCGAGCCAGAGATATTTATGGTGGACTTCCTTATGAAGCAAAGAATAATTATGCCCTTTTAAAAGATGCAATGGGTAAGTGTTTAGAGCCTTGTGAGAGTGCAGACTGGAATCGGGTGAGTTTTTCCTCCCGACGTCGGCTCCCTAATGAGACCGCTCGTGAGTTTGGTAATGCATTAAGACGCTTGATTTATAAAGCCTACCCTTCTGCTGATGCTGCTACGCAAGATTTATTGGCTCGTGATCACTTCGTTGCGCATGTAGGTAGTGGCGATATGCGTATACATTTGCGTAGTGCGAAATCTACTACTTTAGAAAGTGCCATTAATTTAGCATCTGAATTGGAGCTTATTCGGAATTTGGAACATGCATATTGCTCAGATTCTAAAGTCCGTGGTTTGAGTGCTCAGAATTCGTCGGATAATAAGGTTGAAGTTTTACTGGGCATAGTGGAGGAATTGCGTCAAGAAGTTAAGGCTTTACAAGTTACTGTAAAGGATATGCAGGTGAAGTATGTGCCAGCTCCTGTACGCACCACTCCTGTGACAAGTCCATCTGAGCCATCGGTCCGTTTTCGGACCGAAGCATGTTGGGAATGTGGTTGTACTAGACACTTACGTAGGAATTGCCCTTATTTGCAGGGAAACTAGAGGGGGCAGGCACAACAGGCCAAATGCCTGCCCCCATGTCTGTGTCTGATAAATTGGCCTCAGTTTCTACAACCGGTGCTGGAGTTTTTCTGACAGGTAAAGTAGGTGGGTGTGAAACGCGTTTATTGATTGACACTGGCGCACAGATTTCTATTGTACCCAAGCAGTTTTGGTTAAATGTAACTAATGGGGGGTCCAGTTTAGATGGATATCAGGGTAGAGTAGCCGTGGCGAATGGTGGGGAAATGTCAATCTTGGGTCGTTGGCAGACTGTATGCCAGTTTGATTCCTTGGCTGTGATCGTTGAGTTTTTGGTGGCTGATGTTACCCCCCAAGAATTACTGTTGGGTACAGATTTTCTTTCTAAATGGATTGGTCTGAGCAATTCGAGATGGCAGCACAAGTAAATGGGTGGGATAATGAGCTTAAGTTAAAGTTTATCTCTTTATTATTTTCTGGTCGAGCCAGAGATATTTATGGTGGACTTCCTTATGAAGCAAAGAATAATTATGCCCTTTTAAAAGATGCAATGGGTAACTCCTTTGACTGTGGACTATTTAGTGTCACATTTTGGGTTGAAGGAACGGGGGTTTGATTCCAGACAGATGCGGGCGATTGAGGAGTTATTACATTGTAATGCGTCGGTGTTTAGTAAAGGGGATACGGATTTGGGGAGAACTCATCTTGCTTTGCATAAGATAGATACTGGCTCTGCACAGCCTGTTAAATTGCCCCCTCGTCAGCTACCGTTGCACCTCCAGCAGGAGGTTGCTGAGCAGATAAAAGAGATGAAAGAAAATTGCATAATTCGTTGCACCTCCAGCAGGAGGTTGCTGAGCAGATAAAAGAGATGAAAGAAAATGGCATAATTCGTCCATCATGTAGTCCGTGGGCAGCACCTGTAGTTTTGGTTTAAAAAAAATATGGTAGTCTGCGTTTTTGCGTAGATTATCGTAAACTAAATGACGCTACAAAGAAGGATGCATATCCTCTTCCTAGGATTGATGATGCTCTTGATAGTTTAACACATGCCTGTTGGTTCTCCACTTTAGACCTAGTGAGTGGCTACTGGGAGGTGGAGGTTGACCCGCAGGACAGACGTAAGACTGCATTCATTACTCGCCAGGGTTTATTTGAATTTAATGT